CCCCAAATAACTGGCCTCCTCTTGGCCATGGGTCTTTGATGGCAAGGTCTGTAGTACATTAGCGCCCAGACTCCAGAATCAGACAGCCGTTCACTCAGTAAATGTTTATTGAGCACCTGCTGTGTGCCAGGCACTGCCTGGGCCCCGAGGCCCATGAGTGAACAGACAGACAGCTGTCCCTGCCTATTGGTTGACAGTCTGCTGGGAAGACACGGGCCATGAACACACAGAGTAAATGAGTGTGGAGCGTATTAGAAAGGACACAGGCCGAGGAAAAGAGCAGAAGGTAAGGGATATGTCTGTGTCCCAGGGCACCCCACTGGCTGACTCAATCGCCCGCGTGGAGTCCCTTTGCCTCCAAGCTCGGTGGTCGAGTGTGTGCAGTGGGGACTCACAGCCTATCTGCAAAGTCGCTGTGATACTTAGGGACACACACTGAGCTCCGAATCTGGCACAGAGCAAGTGTTACACACAAGTGCGTGATCGATATGCTTAGTGGCGGTAAATCTGTCTTACACAGTGAGAGACAAGTAACAAGTGTCTGCAGTGTGCAAACTGCTAGGTCCCACGGAGCTGTCGGGAAACCTCTCCTGCTCTCAAGTAAGAGACAGTGTATCCAAGTGGCTGGTTAGGGACAAGGACCTCAGACAGACCGGAGCCTGACTCCTGGTCTGCCTCTTACCTGGCAAGTCCCTTCACTCCCCACCGCACCCCTCTCGCGATGGACTGTGCAAGAACAGGGAGGCGGTGTGGGCCAGGGGCCAGGTGGGGCAGTGGTCCAGGGCGGGGGGCCAGGGGGTCTGTAGGTGTAATGCCACCACAGCCATTTCTACACTGCCCACTGATCCTTGCATGGGGCTTGGCACACAGCAAGCTTTAAAAGTATTCCATGAGTGCGTGACAGATGAGTGACAAGCAGGCAGGGAATGGAGGAGCCGGGGGACACGTGGCCAGGAAGACAGCCTGCAGTCTCAGAGTTACAGGGACCAGCCAGCCAGGTCCCAGCTCTGGCCTTTGCCAGCAGTGTGGCCTCACAGGTGATGTCACCAACCCTAGCCTGCTTTGCATCATCGCTAACAGGAGGAAGGTGTGGTTGGCCTTGCCCTGCAGTGTTCTCCCAGGTCTGGGCACTGCAGCGGGTGGCTCGGGCTGGCCCTCAGGTCTCACAGGGTGCCTGTGAGCACGATGTTTTACTTCGCACTTGCCACTTGAACTAGTTATTTACAGTCTACTCTAGTACCCAGAGGTGTCTGCCTGAGGGTGGCCATGCGGAATGGTTCTGAACAGTCACACAATGGAAACAACCTACATCGCCAGTAACAGGATTGCTTACAGAAACTGTGGCCCGTCCACATGACAAAATGACAAACAGCCTCTGAAAAATGATGGATTGTCATGGAAACATGGCCAGGTTTGTATTTGTTAAGGTTATTTTTTTAGGGTATACAATACAATCATATTTTAAATGCATATTTATAAATATGTATATATTCCTAGATACGGTTTGTTTAATATATTATTTCTGGTTATTAAAGCAATACTTGGTGGTAGTAAAATTGGAAATGAGACAAGTGAGAATCCCTTTATAACCTGACCACCTTGTGCTAGCACAGGTAGTCTCTGGACAGTAGGATTACATTTATACTACCTGTATGTGCTGAATTTATTGCAGCAAACATGTAACATTTTGATAATAAGAAAAAATAAGGCTGTTGGTAAAATTATACTGTTTTATAAACTGGCTACTTATTTCATGGGTGTGTATTCTTATCTCCCCAACTAGATTGCAGGAAGAGGTCAATGAAAGTATTGATTCAATGAATGAATGAATTCTATGATTCCTGAGAAGTGGGACTGTGTGCCCTGTGGTGGGTGTTCATAAAGAGATGGCACCTGGCGCAGCCGGTGTGCCTCAGTGGTTGAGCATCAACCCACGCACCAAGAGGTCACCGGTTCAATTCCCGGTCGGGGCACATGCCCAGGTTGTGGGCCCGTTCCCCAGTGGGGGGCATGCAGGAGGTGGCCAATCGATGTTCTCTCTCATCCATGTTTCTTTCAATCTCTTTTTCTCTCTCCCTTCCTCTCTCTCTAAAAATCAATAAAGGAAAAAAAAGTTTTTTAAAGAAAAAAAGAGACGGCCCCTGCTTCTCAGCGGCCTGAGAACGTGGAGCGTCCTCTCACCTTACAGAGCGAGGAGCAGGTCTCCTAAGTGAGCCCCTCACCATCCTCCCAGCAGCTCCCAGAGGGAGGAACAGAGGCCAGAGGCTAGGAAGACTTACCTACACCACTGAGCTAGCAGGTGCTGAGCCAGGGTTTGAACCCGAGCTGTCTGACTCCTGAGCCCATTCTTTGTTGTTAATCCTCATCTGAGGATATTTTTCCATTGATTTTTAGGGAGCGCGGAAGGGAAGGAGAGAGAGAGAGAAGTATCGATGTGAGAGAGACACATTGGTTGCTTCCCACACGACCCCAACTGGGGCCAGGGATCAAACCTGCAACCCAGGTATGTGCCCTAGATTTGGGAATCAAACCCATTACCCTTCAGACCTCGGGCCGATGCTCTAACCACTGAGCCAAACCAGCCAGGGCCAGAGCCCATTTTTTTTTTTTTACCCTCACCTAAGGACATTTTTGCATTTATCTTCAGATAGAGCGGGAGAGAGAGAGGGAGGAAGAGAGAGAAAGAAACATCAATGTGAGAGGGACACATCGACTGGCTGCCACCCACACGACCCCAACCAGGGCCGGGGACAAACTGCAACCAAGGTACGTGCCCTTAGCAGGAACCGAACCCGGGACTCTCTGGTCTGTGGGCTGACCCAGACCACTCTGGGGCCAGAGCCCAATTGGACTCCATGGCCCTCCCCAGCCTGGAGCCCACTGTGACCCTCAGAACCTGCTGGCAGCTCTGGCTAGACCAAGGTGCTGACACAGGCCTCTGGGTATTCATAGCCCCTGTCAGGGCTGGGCTCCTCTGCCCCTCCTGGGGCAGCCCAGGTCATGGACCCCACCCCATGGGGTGAGTGCCCTGGTGGAGAACTGAGCGAGCATGTCCAGGTCCCTATGGTCTGAGGGGTCTGAGTTCAGAGGCCCTGGTGTCCCACCCCAGGGACTTCTTGGGAGTCAGACCTCCCCTCTTTTGGGCTTCCTAGCTGGAGGTCCTCAGCCTTTGAGCCTCAGCTTCCTCATCTGTAAAATGGGGATGATATCACAACTTCACAGGAAGGTTGGCTATGTGGCTTATAAGCTAAAACACCCAGAGGGCTCAGTACACAGCTCCTTCTCCATGTACCCTGTGCACACGTTCATGGACACTGGTCCAGGACAAGGCAGCACACGTCACCGTGCTACACCCAAGAGGGTGGGCTGTGACAGTCTGGGCCAGCCACCTCTGTGGCTGCATCTAAATGGAACACTCAGGAAAAGGAATTCCAAGCAGTCTGCAAGGAACCCCAGACTGAGGGCTCCTGGAGTCTGGCCAGGCCTGGGGTGGGGGCTGGACCTTGGGGCTGGGTCCTTCCGAAGGGGCATTCAGAAGGGCGAGAAGCTCTGCCTCGTTTGTTAAACAGGGTCCGTTCCTAACCCACAGTGTTGAAGGCTCACTGTGGGGCGGGGACCCTGCTCAGCAGTTTGCAAAATCATCTCATTGACCTCACAACAGGCCTTGGAAGGTGCACACTGTCATTCCCATGTTACAAGTAGAAAAACCAAGGCCCAGAGAGGCCCAGTGACTTGCTCAGGTCTCACCTACCTGGTGGCTGGACCCCCAGGCCATTCATCCCTCCTCTGCCTGACTCTGGAGCCCACGGGCCAAACAGCACTCACCGCCGCCCCAGGCAGCATCCTGTCCTGGGGGTGCTCTGCACCTGGTCCCTGGGAGGCTGTGGGGCCAGCCTGGGCATCACAGCCAGGCCGCATGATTGGAAGGGAAGTCACAGACTCCCGCCTCCATCCCAGCAGAGCGGACAGGCCGTGGTTGCCAAGAATAGCGAGACCAGGATATTCACTCCTGACTCTTCTGGTCACCCTAAAACAGTGGCTTCCTCTTGAGCCCAGACCCAGTGAGCCCCAAAAGGGCTGTGGAAACTTTGGGTTCCTGCAGTCCCCGGGTGGGTGCGGGGAGGCCTGACTCCTCCTCGACGGGCCTTGTGCTCTGCCCTCTCTGGGTTCGCAGCCTCTCTTGCCTACTCCGGGCCATGCAGCAGCCCCTGGGCCTCCGAGGCCCCACATGGGACAGGCTCTTCTTGCCGGGGCCTTCACCAGCCCTTCCTTCCAGGGGGAGCCCTGGTTCTATTCCTGCAACACATCTGCACACTCGCAGTTTCTCCCTTGTCACTCGCTTAATCCCTACTGAACTGTGAGCTTCCTGGGGGCAGGGACGGAGTCTCCCTTGCTGCCCTGCGCCAGGCACCCAGCACCGTGCCAGGTGCCCGGTAACTGTAGATGGGCTTCCTGAAGCAGCTCGAGGGCTCCTGCCCTTCACAAAGCTCAGGGCCAGGGAGGCCACCTCCAAGGGGCAGATCCGTTGCCGACCAGTGAATTACCCCTCCCGCTAGTGGAGATAAAATCTCACAGATGGCCCTCTCATCGAACTGATAGCTACACTGAAGCCAAATTCAAGACTGATTAAAAAAAAAAAAAAAAGGCCAGCCTGGCAGCTTAATGAAATGCTGTCACAGAGGGGAGGGGCTGGGCCCGGTCCCAGCAGACCCAAGATGATGCTTCTAGTGACGTCATTTACTCCATCTGGAGCCCAGAGAGGCCTTCAGCCTGGGCCCCACTGACCAGTCCGTGGGACCAAGTCCACGCTGCCCGGGCCAGTGGGACAGGCAAGCCTGGCTCGCAGGGGCCTGGGCCGCTCAGGGGGAAGCTGGAAAAGGCAGGGCTTAGTCCGGAGCCCACATTTGGGCCCCTGGCTTGGAGCACAGCGGAGGCCGGAGCAGCAGGACTACATTTCCCAGAGTCCCCCAAGGCCTGGAGAGCGAGCCATTGGAAGATTTAAATAGCCCAGGCCTGAGGCGGTGGCCGCAGCCAGGACTCCTCCGCCTCCCGGTGGCTCCATTGGCGCCTGCCGGCGTTGGGGGGCTCGATTGGCTGCCCAGCTGGCACTGACGTCCCGGGAGCCTGGTGGCAAACAGAGGTAAACAGCCATGTGCTGTCCCCCACTCTATATTTAACAGCTGCCGTGGACAAGGCAGCGAGCGGCGGGTGCTGTGGGCTCTGGGGGCAGCTCCTGCCCCGGGGAGAAGGCCCTGGCAGCCGGGCTGGCACCGGCCCTCGCAGTCTCCGCGTCACCATGCCAGGCTCCCAGAGCCGGGCCCGTGCCCGGGACCGCAACAACGTCCTCAACCGGGCCGAGTTCCTGTCCCTGAACCAGCCCCCCAAGGGGGTCCCAGAGCCCCGCAGCTCAGGTAGGAAGGCCTCGGGCCCCTCGGCGCAGCCCCCGCCCCCTGGCGACGGGGCCCGGGAGCGGCGCCAGTCCCAGCAGCTGCCCGAGGAGGACTGCATGCAGCTGAACCCCTCCTTCAAGGGCATCGCCTTCAACTCCCTGCTGGCCATTGACATCTGCATGTCCAAGCGGCTGGGGGTGTGTGCTGGCCGGGCCGCGTCCTGGGCCAGCGCCCGCTCCATGGTCAAGCTCATCGGCATCACGGGCCACGGCATCCCCTGGATCGGGGGCACTATCCTCTGCCTGGTGAAGAGCAGCACGCTGGCCGGCCAGGAGGTGCTCATGAACCTGCTTCTGGGTGAGTGTGCCTGCCACCTGCCGCCCGCCCGCCCCGCCCGCCCCGCCAGGACCAGCCGGGCCCTCGGAAACAGACTGGAACATTCTAATGAGGTTAGGCAGGAAGGGTGCCCCAGAAACAGGCCGGGACAGAGAGAGCCGGGGATGCGCAGGTGAGGGCTGCACAGTGGAGGCCCGGTGGGAACTACGGCCCCAGAGCCAGCTTGCGGGTGGGCACCGGAGGCTGTGGCCTCGAGGCAGCTGGGGGGCTGCTGGGGTCCTGGCAGGGGTCCCGGAGTGGAGTGTCTCATCATGTAACTCCCATCCACAGGTTGGGCTCCTTGAGTTTCTGGGCTGCTTACAGGGGCCGTGCGAGCTGCCCCGCCCCGGCCTGGCTCCAGGGCCCTGCAGCTGCCTAGGATGCTCCCATAAGGGCTAGGAGTGCAGGGGCTCAGTGTGGGCACCCACACACTGTGGCCTCCTGAAATCCATGCCTGCTACTTCCCTGGGTGAGTCGCTGGAGGAGAAGGCCTGGTAAGCTGGTCTTTGGTTTGTTTTAACCAAGTCTTTGCCACCACGTCCTTCCGTTCAGCCCTGCTCTGTGCCAGGTGCCACATGGGACCCACGTGGGAGGCAGGCCCTCCCCTCCAGCCAGCCACCCTGCAGGCACCTCCAGGTCCCCAGCGCGTCTAGGGAATCTCTGCTCCCACCTTCCGTGCTGGACCCATATCCATCCCTCACCCTTCCCAGCATGGCCACCCTTTGGGGTACAGGTGGGCTGGGGTCCCAGACAAAGCAAACACTGGAGAGGTGTCCCAGTTCCAAAAGGGTTTGGGCTGGACCACTGAGAACTGTGGTCCCCCAGGGAGTTACGATAGAAACGTTTATGTCCCCACTCAGGCCTCAGAGGGTCTAGGATGGCTGCTCTGTGGGTGGGGCGCGGGGAGGAGGAAGCCGGCAGGTGCTTCGTGCAGGAGGCAGCTGGGTGTGGCACCATCCACGTTTTCTCACTGTTGTTACCGAGTTATCTACGTTGCTCGTTGTGTATCCTGAATAAACAGTCCCACGTGACTGGCGCTGTCATCATTCCCACTTTACAGGTTGGGAGACTGAGGCCCCTATAAATAAAGGAGCTGGAGATTGGCACCAGGTCCACCTGCCATCCAGGCCTGTGCTCTTTCCAGACTTGGGAGGGAAGGTAGAGAGCAAGGTGGTGGAGGCACCACACTGGGCGTTTCTGGGGGCAAAACCCTGCTCTCATTATCCGTGGCCTCCCCAGGGCCCACTGCAGCCTCACACTGAGCCTTGGGGGTTAGGTGGCCCGGGTCAGAGAACAGGAGGAGAGAGCGTGCTAGAACCCGCTCCCTGAACCGTCAGCACGGCCCCTCTCCGGATGATGGGGGTAAGATCCGCAGTGTGTTCAGTTCTCCACAAATCACACCATCCCTCCTTAGCCTCCTTCAGCCCCACGAGGGGAAGGACAGTGTTCTTTCCCATTTGGAGGAGGGGACGCAGGCACAGGGCGATGCAGCTGGTCGGCGATGGGTGAGAACTGGGGGCAGCTCCGGCTCGCTAGGAGGTTCCCGGCTCATCCCAGCAACCAGCTGCTGGGGGCACAAAGGTGTTTGTTTGAAGAACCAGACTGGAGATTCCTCTCTTCTTGGATGAGAATGACAGTCGTTTTTAAGTTTTTTAAAACTTTGTTTATTGATTTTCATTATGTACCAAGTACTATGCCATGAATGTCCCATATTTCATGATTTAAAAATATTCTTAATGACCTTATAAGGTAAATATGAATACACCCACTTTACAGATGCGTTAACTGAGGCTCGGAGCGGTTAAGGGACTTGCCCACTCCACACAGCTGTAATGTGGTAGGTTGGGGACTCAAATCCAAGTCCTCCAAATGGCAAACCCCTTTTGGAGTCGGTCTGCAGGGTTCTGTTGTCGTCCCATTTAGGGGGGTGCCTCGGGGTCTTTCAGCTCTAGAGCACAGGCTCTGAGGTTAGGCTGGGCTTTAGCTGGGTCGTTGCCTGAACCGGACTTGCTCTGTGAACTTGGTCAAATTAGTTCCCATTCGGAGCCTCCGCTTCCTGATCTGTCCATGGGGCTTCAGGGCTGTGGTGGGGATTTAGGGGTAAAGCACTTGGCGCAGTGGGTTGCCCACGGATGTGCCCAGTGGATGGCCAAGGCCACTGCTATGCGAACTGTGAGGCCCAGAGGCGTGAGAGAGCCCCGCCCAGCCCTGCTCACCCACTCCAACGCCAGGGCACCCAGAAGGTTAATGAGGGCAGTCTCTGGGCCGGGAGCGGAGGTCTGTACCTGTGCTGTTGGGACATGGGCTCCCCTTGGCCTGGGGGAAAGTCGGGAGTCTTGGGAAATGAGGGCTCCAGCCAAGGGGCCTGGAAAGAGTCCCAGCTGGCCAAGAGGAGGTTCTCCGTGCTGCCCGCTGCGTTCTCCCCCCCGGGTGTGCTGCCCTGACTCGAGACCTCAAAGCCAGAAGGGGGCTTAGCGGCTGGCAGAAGCTTGCCGTCCGGAGTCAGCTGGACCTGGGTACCAATCCCAGCCCTGCTGTGGGAACTCAGGCAAAGTGACTTTGCCTCTCTGAGCCTCGTTTTCCTCATCTGTTAAATGGGTTGCTGGGACCCATCACTGAAGAATGGCACACAAGGTGCTTGGCACATGCCGTGCCAGCTGACGCTTGTGTAGCAATGACTGTCACCATCACCATCTCTGTCACCACTGTCCAAAGAACCCTGGTCCAGACTCCCTCCAGGTCCCCTTTAAGCTCTGCACTTGCGAGATGACCGGCAGCTCCCTTGTCCGTCCCCTGCAGCACCTGGCTTGATGATCCCAGAGGGAGCCAGGTGACAGGTGACCCAGGCCCATCCCAGCTCACCAAGCCCATCCTGGGTTCCTCGTGGGCCTGTCCGTGGCGGAAAGTGGCCTCCGTGTCTTGTTGCCATGACCTATGGAAACACCCTTCTGATCTTCCTGGTTGTAAAAACCATACGTTCTTCTCCTGTGGCATTTTTTTTTGTTTGTTTTTTATTCCTCACCCGAGGATATTTTTCTACTTATTATCAGATAGAGTGGGAGGAAGGGAGGGAGAGAGACAGACAGACAGAGGGAAACATCGATGTGATAGAGCCACATTGACTGGTTGCCTCCCGCATTACTGACCAGGGCCGGGGACGAACTGCAACCGAGGTACATGCCCTTGACCAGAATCGAACCCGAGACTCATTGGTCCGCAGGCCGATGCTCTAACTGCTGAGCCAAACCAGCCAGGGCTGTCATTTCTTTATTGTGGTGGAATATATATTACATAAATTTGCCATTTTAACCTTTTTTTTTTTAAATCCTTACCCGAGGATATTTTTCCATTTATCTTCAGACAGAGTGGGAGGGAGGGGGAGAGAGAGAGAAACATTGATGTGAGAGAGACACATTGATTGGTTGCCTCTCGCACGACCTCCACCAGGACCGGGGACCAAACTGCAACCGAAGTACATGTCCTTGACCGGAATTGAACCAGTGACTCTTTGGTCCGCAGGCCAATGCTTTAACCGCTGAGCCAAACCGGCCAGGGCTCCATTTAACCATTTTTAAGTGTACAGTTCTGTAGCATCGCGCACATTCACATGGTTGTGTAACCATCACCTCCATCACCTCCAGAATTTTCTCATCTTCTCAACTGAAGCTCTGTCCCCAGGAAACACTCATCCCCTCCCCTCCCCCAGCCTCTGGCACCCACCATCCACTTCCTGACTCTAGGACTTTGCCCGCTCCAGGGACCTCCTATACATGGAACACACGGTATTTGTCCCTTTGTGACTGGCTTCTGTCACTCAGCACCATGTCCTCAAGGTTCTCGTGTGACAGTATTTCCTTCCCTTGAAGGCTGAATAATGTTCATTGTGTGGCTGGACCACATTTATTTTCATCCACCAACTGGCAGCGGACTCTTGGGTCGCTCTGCCTCCCGGCTGCTGTGAATGATGCTGCCGTGAACAGGGGGGTGCAAACATCCTTTTGGGTGCCTGCTCCCCGTCCTGTTGGGTGCAGAACCAGAAGCGGAGTTGCTGGATCACATGGTGATTCTCTCTAGCTTGTAGAGAAGCCGCCAGACTGTTTTCCACGACGGCTGCACCGTTTCACACCCACGCCCGCCCTGCACAAGGGTTCCGTGGCTCCACAGCCTCGCCAGCACCTGCGGTCTCCCACCTGTTCGGGTAACGGCCACCCTGGTGGGTGTGAACGTGGTGTCGTGGCTTTGATTTGCACCTCCTTAATGAACAGTGATGTTGAGCACCATTTCATGAAACTTTTTTGTAAATATATTTTTATTGAATTTTTTAGATAGCGAGGAATCCAGAGAAAGAGAGAGAGAGAAACAGCTATGTAAGAGAGAAGCATCGAATGGCCGCCTCCTGCACGCCCGCTACTGGGCATTGAGCCCGAAACCTGGGCATGTGCCCTGACCGGGAATCGAACGGGTGCCCTCTTGGTGCCTGGGTCGACGCTCAACCACTGAGCCACACCAGCCGGGCTCATGATACATTTTTGTGGTCAGGAAAATTACACGGATAGATAATGAGAAAAGTGGATGTTTCTCCACCCCCTTGCCCAGGAATACCCTGCACTGCAGTTTGGGTCTCAGGCCGCTGGGTTTCCCTCTGGGCACCTGCTCACACGTCGTACGTCTCAGACGATCCCCTGCGCTGCTTCACCCAGCTTGGCCTCGTCTTCAGGGCCTGTGATGGGCCTGCTGGGCCCTGCAGCTCCCATTGGAATCATGATCTCGGCCCCCCACGTCCCTTCATGCGTGAGGGGTTCAGAACCCAGACCGGCTTCCTCAGCCTTCCAGCACCCCCAGGTGTCGCCCAGCGTCCCCTCCCCTCAGCCCCGCTTCCTGCTGGCAGCCCCTCCCGCAGGGGCTGTTCTGTGGGCTTTGCCACCCCCGCCCGCCAGCCCCGGCTCCGGGCACAGCTCAGGGGACAACCCCTCCACAGGGCTCGTCTGGGCTGCCCCTGACTGACCACATTTAGGACGCTCCCAGCCTTCGCTGTCAGGGACACCGCTGCTGAGGTGACACGCGCCAGCTCTGCAGAGTGGGCTCTTCCCCTGCACTTTCTCGGGGCTCCGCAGCTCAGCACCTCAGAGCGGCTCAGTGAGCGCGGCAGTCGGAGTCCCCGTGGGCGCCCTGGGTGCCACCAGCTCAGGGCTCGGCTCAGACAGAAACGAAGGGAGGGGTGAGCGGTGGGCAGGCCCCGGTCTCGCTCCGGTCCCAGCGGCCTGGCGCTCAGCTGAGGGAATAAACCAGCTGCTGGCCTTCTCTGCCCACGCGTTTGACGCCCGGACACCCGACAGTTCAGGTGAGAAAGCCCACACCTGCAGACTCCCTCCGGCTAGGGGATGCCAAGACAGGCCCTCAGGGCTGCCCGGCCACCCGCCCGCCCCTAGCACCCCCCCCAGGAGCTTGTCCTTCTGGAACTGTGCGCGGGTTTTTAATGCAGCTTTTGGTACGTGAGCCACAATACGCAGGGCGTCAAGGGAGCTCTTAGCCTTTCCTCAGCCCACAGCTCGGTGGCAGTAGGTCCAGTTACACTGTTGTGTAACCTTCCCCACCTTCATCTCCACACCTTCTCATCTTCTCAGCTTAGGCTCTGTCCCCATCAAGCGCTCGCTGCACAGCCCCTCCCCCGCCCCTGGTGCCCTCCAACCTACCTTCCGTCTGAATTCCCTCCTTCCCGCGCCTCACAGAAGCGGAGGCATGCAATATCTGTCTTTTGTAAACTAACTTTAAAAAACTGTGCACAAGTGCTGTGTATTTGTGGTAAGGAAATATTTGAAGTGCAGAATGACAGACAGACAATAAAAACCATCCTCAGTCTGCCCCCCAAGCGAGCAGCAATCTTGACCTTTAGTGCGGTGCCCTCCGGGCATTTTTCTCTGCAGGCAAACAGGGTTGCATCTTATTTTTACAAAAATGGCACCCTGTGTAGTCCTGCTGGGTAAACGGCTTTCCCCACTTGGCTGTGAGTATATGCCCGCGTGGTCCTCCGCAGGGGTCGGAGCGCGTCGTCCGCGCTCGGCCGCCCCTCCGCCCGCTGCTCAGGGGCGCTGGGGGCGGTCCCTCCGTGTTGTGGAGAACGTCACAGCACACAGCCTTGACCGTGAGTCAGGTGCATGTCCCTAGCTATTTCCCAAGGACATACCTGCAGATGGAACAGACACCTCCCTGGGTCTGCAGCCAAGTGCCCTGCAGACAGTTGACGGGTTTACCCTGCCCCGCAGCACTGCCAGCTGGTCCCCGCCTCCTCCAGAAGCCAGTGGGGGGCTAGAGGCAAGGTCAGGCCCCAGCCAGCAAGGGACACAGCCCACAAACCTGTCTCCTCCCAGCCCGCAGGGAGCCTCATCTCTGCTCCCTGGGCAGGGACAGGTGTCGGGTCAGGACTTCGCCTGGGGAACAGCTGTGCTTCCTGCATGGGAGGGGCGTGGGCCCCGGCATCTCAGACCCCAGCTCAGTGAGGGGAGCTGACGGTGGGGACGGAGGCCAGAGGACATGAGAGGTGGCGGAGCCTAGCCCTGCCTCCCAGGCCCCATTTGTGGAGGCCTCTGCTCTGGGCTGATCCCCATTCTGTCGATGAGAGGAGGGAGGCTCCAAAGGACTGGGCGCGCCAAGGTCGTGCCATTTGCCAGTAGCCGGCCTTGAGGAGGCGCTGATTCTGGAGCCCAGGTGCGGACGCTCCGCCCTAGTTGACTGCAGTGAGCAAGGGCCCCCAGGGAGGGTACGTGACCTACCCCGGTCACACAGCATGTCAGAGGCAGCGGGTAGCAGCCCCTCTCCTGACCTTGGCCCGTGAGCTTCCCACCGGGCAGCCCTGTCCTCTGGGGCCTGCTGGCCTCCCTCCGAAGCCAGGAGGGAATGTAGGTCAGGGAACTCGGCGGGGCCGTGTGAACAGGACTCACGGAGCCTCGAGTGACGGCGCCATTTGCTTCTATTTCTGGGCCCAGAGTATGCGCTGACTGTCAGAATCCAGTCACACTGACTCCGGCTGCGTGCCGGAGGAGGGCAGTGGCCCTGCAGGGCCGTCGGGTGGCGAGGAGGCTGGGGAGGCCACTGTTTGCTGGAGAGCCGGCCGGCAGTCTGAGTGTGCCACGCTGCCCCTCCTGCCAGCCCTCCACGCCAACGGCAGCCACGTGGTGAGGGCGACACTGCGGGTGCAGCCCTCCCGTAGAGGGACTCAGAACTGTCGCTGCCCATCTCCTCAGCCACGTGACACCCCGCCAGCATTCGCCAGCCCCAGTCCGGCCCATGCCTCACACACTCGAGATCCAGCGATGCCCCAAACTGGAGGTCAAGTGAATGAATGAACCAGGCGTAGAATGGGCTGGGCCAGCCGCAGCCAGGCTGGCCCAGTGGTCCCCCAGGGGCACATAGCAAAGGGACAGAGAGGCCTGTCACTCAGGTGAGGGAGGAGCCTCACCGGGCTGAAGAGGGCCGCTGGCTCCTCCAGGCCTGGCCGTGGTTCGGCTGCCCTGCTAGGCCCAGAGAACCAGGGGTCAAGAGCAGCTGCCTCCCTCCAGCCCTGCGGGTCCCTCTCTCCTGCTGGAACTGTGACCTTCCACGAGCTCCATATGGCTCCCCGCCCGGGCCTGGCCTCGCCTGGGTCTGGGGCACGCAGGCAGGCTGGCCACACACCTCCGAGGCCTCCGTCTCCTGGGAGGCCTAGGGTCCTGGGAACAAGCTGCCATGGAAATTCGTGGCCAGGCAGCCTCTCCCTCCCCTACGTCCTGTTCCTTGCCAGGCATGCCCCAGGGTGCAGGGACGGCGGCCAGCCCTGTGGCTGATGAGGGGGAAGGCCCAGGGCAGACCAGGGTTCCAGTCCCTGACGAGCCCCACGCCAGCCGGGACGCCGCGTATTCGGGGCACTCCGAGTGGCCGGCGCGCTCACCGATGGAGGAACAAGCCTCGGTCCGCATAGGCCACAGCCGTGGGAGTCCGGGGCCATTCGGCGTGGCAACTTCCAAATGCAGGCTTCCACACGCGTGCGGGAGCGTGTCACCGCGTTTGTGAGACCTACGCTCTGTAGATGGCCAGGAGGGCCTGGAACAGTGGTGACCTCTGGGTGGCAGGGTGACCGGCGATTTCAAATCTTTCGTACATGCTCTGCAGTGGACATGTACCACGTCATTCATTCCAACAGTTTCTGTTCGGTTTTCATTCTTGTTTTCTGAGCAGCAGGCCACTGCGGAGTCCGGGGCCAGCCCAGGGCCAGGCTGCGGCGGCCGTCCCGGGCTCTTCCCTCTCCGGCCAGAGCGGGCGAGCCCACGGGGACGACAGCAGCCTGGGGGTTGCCAGGGGTTGGGTGAGGGGAATGAGGAGTGACTGACTAATGGCTACGGGCTCTCACTTTGGGGTGACGGATAAGGTGGGGGTTGCATCCCGGGAATGCACTCGATGCCACTGCGCTCTGCACGCAAAACGCCTCGTCGCACGTCACATGGATTTCACCTCCACTGTAAAGAAATGGGGACACGAACGGCCTGTCTCAGGGTTCACAGGGGCTTCGTAGAGGTCCTTTGAGAAAAGCCACCAGCCCAGGGTCCCATTTGTCAGAACACAGATCCTCCGAGGGGCCCTCGGACCCAGGATACCCAATGCCCAACTCTCGTCCAGCAGCTCATTGAACACGTCCCGTGGGGAGCACGTCTGGGCCTCGTCCTCTGGAGCGCGCACTGGAGGGAAGGAGAGATGGGAAGTTCGTGAGAAAATGGGTGACTTGTTGGGCCTTGAGAAATGCTGTTGGGGGGGACTGGGGAGGACGTCTGTAAACAGGTGGTCAGGGAAGGCATCTCTGCGGGAAGACATGAGGGCGCGAGCTGCGTGACTATCCCAGGGAAGGGCTCCCAGGTGGGGGAACAGCACAGGCGAAGGCCCTGCGGTGGGAATGTGCTGACTCCCCACGCGGGAGTGAAGAAGGCGAGGGAGGGAGGGGAGACGCGGAGGCACTGACAGCCCTCTGGCCCCTGTCTGCTGCCCACAGCCCTGCTCCTGGACATCATGACGGTGGCCGGCATGCAGAAGCTCATCAAGCGGCGTGGCCCGTTCGAGACGAGCCCCAGCCTCCTGGACTACCTCACCATGGACGTCTACGCCTTCCCCGCCGGGCATGCCAGCCGTGCGGCCATGGTGTCCAAGTTCTTCCTGAGCCACCTGGTGCTGGCAGTGCCCCTGCGTGTCCTGCTGGTGCTCTGGGCCTTCTGCGTGGGGCTGTCACGAGTGATGATCGGACGTCACCACATCACGGACGTCGTCTCGGGCTTCATCATCGGCTACCTCCAGTTCCGCCTGGTGGAGCTGGTCTGGATGTCCTCCAACACCTGTCAGATGATCATCTCTGTCTGGTGAACCTGCCCTGGCGACAGCAGGCGGGCCCACCAGTGACTGGCATGTCTGGTAGTGCGGCTGCCCTGCTCCTTGGCCAGGGCCCAGCGTGGGGACAGCCCTGCTGAGCGTCTGCTCTGGCAGGTAACAGGTGAGAACCAAGATGGCAGGAGAGGGACTGAGCCTTGTCCTTTCATCATCGTGACTGTTGAGTTCTTGGCTGTGCCCACCATGCCACAGTACAATGCCTGGCCAAATACCCCCAACCTCCCATGCAACACAGGTGCCATTAACGGTCATCAATAGCTTAGGGTGCCCCACTGGCCACCAGCCTGGGAAGAAAAAGGGTTTTGTGGTCAAACAAATTTGGGAAATGCTGCATACTCTGCCCCCTGTCAGACCTTCACAAGGGGTGTTATTGTCATAAAGGCTCTGACAAGTCCCGCAAAGAAGCTTCCTGTCGAACCTCGTGTACCATGTTTCCTGAGCTTATTTGACCACAGAACCCTTTTCTCGTGGAGTAGCTATGAACCCCTGAGACACCGCCGCTTCCTCAAGTTCACTTTGGGAAGGGTCTGAGGTGTAAGCTGGCCTCTCCCAGTGCCGACCAGTGCCAAGGCCGTGGAAAGCCCACGGCCTGTGGGCATCGGTGCCACTTTGGCCCCCAGGGGCCGGACTCTGTGTGACCTAATAGGTCTTTTCCAAGTCAACTGTTATGTTATGTGCATTTCATGTGACAATACAGATGATGTGCGAGGGCACCCGCCCCGTGTGGTTTTCTTTGCGTGATGCGGGTTTTCAGGCAGGAGAGCCTCTGTCAACATGGATGGGGGTGGGGAAGGGGCGGGGTCTCTGTCAATGTGGGTGGGGCAGTGGGAGGGGTGGAGTCTCAGTGGGTTAGTTTCCCAGGCTGCTATCATGCAGAACCCTGAGCCAGGAGCTTAAAACAGCAGAAACGTTTCCCTGACAGTTCTGGAGGTTTGCAGCCCAGAACCGAGGCGTGGGCAGGGCCGCGCTGCCCGAGCCTCCGTGGGGTCCTTCCGTGACTTCCAGTCCTGGTGGTGCCGCGCCCCTGGCGATTCAGGCTGCAGCCGCATCACTCTCTTCCCCGCCTCCGCCGTCTCGGGTGTTCTCCCTGGCCTGCATCCGGCTCCCCTTCACAGGACAGCAGGCGTCTTGGATTAGGGCCACCCTCCTTAAGTCTGACCTCTTCTTAACTTACATCTTAATCACATCTGCCAAGACCCGATTTCCAAATAAGGTCGCATTCGTAGGTCCTGGGAGCTCAGACTTCAACTTATCTTGTTGGGGACGTATTTCCACCTGTAACACGCAGGATACTTTGGGGGAAGGAAACAGCTTCCCCTTGGGGATCGGACAGTACACTCTTGTCCCTGGGGCCCAGCTACAATTGGGTCTCCCGAGCATGGAGCCCCCCCGAGGCCCAGCCCTCAGGCCTGACTACCCTCCCCGCCTGCTGCAGAGACCCCACATCCCCCCTGGTCACGGTGCCCCAGGGCCAAGGCTGGGGGCGGCACCTTGTCTTTGCCCTGAAGGAGCTCAGACAGATACGATCGAAAGCCCCAACTCCCCACCGTGGGCATTGCCTGGTTCCAGAGTCTTTAAAATACGTTCTGCACGTCCCCACCGATGCCCCTGGCATCTGGGTTACGAGATGCTGAGCGGAAGGGGTGAGGGTGTCCACCTTCTCCCCTCACCCCTTCCCTGGGAAAGTCACTCACCGAGGATCCAGCTCCGGCCTTGGGCTGGAGACAGGCGGCTGCCCTGTGAGGCCCCATCCCCAGCAGGGGACCCAGCACCCAGGACTCGGAAAGAAAGAATTAGCTGTTGGGGCCACTCGCCTCCCCACCCCAGAAAAGACCCCTCGGCTCCCCTGGGCACTGCTGGATAAGGCAGGGTGCTTTGGGCTTGGATGGTCGGGTGTTAGTGGGGAGTGGAGCCTGGAGGGGGGCACCTGCCCGTGTCATGGTGGGCCTCGTGCTGGCTTCCAATCTCCCCTCCCAACCATGGGGATTAAGGGGGGGCTTTGTCCAGCTGCTGCTGTTACCTGGGCCCCTTGAGCCCCACCTCCTCCTTGCTCTGTCCCACCCCCAAGGAGGGAGGAGGGAGGAGGTAGAAGGACTGAAGCTGAATCCCCCAAAACCTTGGGTTTCACTCATGGTCTCAGCCTGCCTGTCTCAGGTCAGGTGTGTCTGCAGCACCGCCCAGAGCCAAGCGCCAAACCCTGCCGAGGCCCGAAGTTTGAGACCGGGAGGGAGGGCAGGAGCGATGCCCAGGTGGTGTCCGTGGGGCTGTGAGCCCCACCCCCTAGTTAGGCAGCTGTGGCCTTAAAACCCTGTGGGAGCGGGGGTTATACACCTTGCCAGCTGCAGGTAAGTCACGGGGGACCATGACAGTCCCCACGACCCACGGATGGAGAGGAACTGATGATTCTTTGGGGTACTGTGGCAGACAGGACAATGGCCCCACAGAGACGCTCACATCCTGATCCCCTGAACCTGTGACTGCGTTACATTGGTGCCCTGGGGGATAAAGGCAGCAGGTGGCGTTCAGGGTGCTAACCCGCTGACCTCCAAACAGGAGCCGAGCCTGGAGGTCCAGGTGGGCCCAATGTGATCTCGGGGGTGCTTAACAGTGGGAGAGGTCAGAGCAGTGCGAAGGAGGACCTGGTCTGTGCTGCTGGCTTTGAAGGTGGGGGAGGAGGCCCCAAACCAAAACATGCAGGCGCTGGGAAAAGCTGGGAGCCCGATTCTCCCCAGCCTCCGGGAGGACCCCGAGCTGCCGAACCTGAACTTGCCCTGTGAGACTGGTGTGGACTTCCAACCCCGGCGGCAGGTAAGATCATACATGGGTGTCGTTTTAAGCCACTAGACTTGTGGAATTTGTAACAGAAATGATCAGACACTAGCTCCGGTATCTGGACAGTCTGCCCCACCCACTGCTGTGGCCACGAACCCCGCCGCCTCTTGTCCAGAAAAATGCCAAGCATCCCACCTGAGGGCTCTAGAATCATCCTGCCCAGCAGCCTCTTTGCACAAATGGGGACACAGGCCCAGAGAGGGTGTCAGGGCCACACCAAGTGCCCCAGGCACTGCGGAGCCTGCCCTGAACTGCCCCTGGGCTCCCTGGCTCCAGACCCTGGGTGGTCAAGGGGCCGGGCAGCAGGGGGCATGGACCCCTCCAGTCCTGCATGTCCTCTTGCTCCTCCCTGCTGCCCAAAGTGGTTCTCCAAGTGAGGGGAGGGGACTGGCGAGGTCCCCCCACCTGGGCCTTCTCAGTGTCTCCATTTGGCCTCCAGTAAAGTTCTCATCTGTCAAAATAAACAGCAGGGAGGCGGGGTCCTGGTGGCGGTGGGCTGCAGGGGGAGAAGCCCTTGCATGTTACAGGTAAAGTGTCTCTGCGCAAGTTCATATACTGAAGCCCTCACCCCACCCCTCGGAGGGTGATGTCTTTGCAACGAGGGCCTTTCAAGAGGTGACTACGTTGAGGTCGTTAGGGTGGGCCTAGTGCAACAGGACAGGTGTCCTTACAGGAAGGGAAAGCGACACAGACACACACGGGAGGGCCAGGGAACACGCAGGGAGACAACGGCCTTTTACAAACCAAGGACTTCCAGCCTCCAGGACTGTGAGAAAGTCCGATTCTGCAGTTTAAGCCACCAGCCTGGTGTTCCGTTCTGGCAACCCCAGGGATACATGGGTCCATCAGGTCGGCCGGCTGTCACCTGTCACCACAGGCAGAGCAAGGCTCAGAGGAGATTGAGACACACGCCAGGTGAGTTCGGGGGCACATCTGGGGGCACCGTGCTGCTGCCCTGGCCAAGCTGCTTCTGGGCAGCGTATGGAGAGCCTGTGCCATGAGCCCCTGACCCTCAAAGGCGCTGGCTCTCTGCAGACACCACCACCTGCCCAGGGGAAGCCACTTCCCAGCTTAGGCAACTGGTCTTGGACAAAGTCCTGGAGCCCCCAGCCCCTTCCCTGCCTGGGGAGAACTCCGGAAGGGGCAGGAGAGGGGGCCACCAGGAGCTTAAAAATGCACGAACTCCCGGATCAGCCCATCTGGCTGCAGGACGAGACTGAACATCTGGCCTTCGCTTTGGCCCGAGTGTTTACGTAACCCACGTGGGAACACACGCGGCACAGCTCCGGCAGGCGGCGAGGCTGGTGCCCTGGCCACCTCCTCCTGGCCGCCCGATGAGAGGGCTGTCGTGGGGATGCCCGGCTCGAGGTGAGAGTTGGTGCGCGCTCACTCAGCCTCACTGTTTGGCCGGCCTGTCCTCCACGGGTAAATTCACCCACAGGAGAGCTCAGCTTCCTCCCAGCTTTAAGATTCTGTTTTATGTGCAAACACAGACACTCGTGCATGTACACCATGTGCTCCGGTACAAATACCCGTAGATGCACATATGTTCACGTTCACACACAGGTACCTGTATACACACCTAGATAAAATGGTACCAAAAACGATGCTCACACCCACAGTAAAGCCACTCCACCTGCATCCGATGCACACACACAGGTGTATGTGTACACACGTGTACACACACATACATGTGTGTGCTCTTATACAAGCATGCACACTCATATGCTTACATGCACGTTTCCACATATCAGGCTTGTCAGACTCGGCAAATAAATGTGCAGGACTCAATATTTGGAACATACTTACACTAAAAACTATTCACTTATCTGAAATTCAAAAGTATGTGTGTCCTGGATTTTATCTGACAACCCTAATACGTGCATGTACGTGTGTTCACACACGCACACTCGTGAAGCCAGCGCTGTCCCTGCGCAGCCCCGGACATGCTGTCTCCCTGGGAGAATTCCCAAGACCCCCTCCATCTGTTATTAGGCCACAGCTTGAACCCCGGCCCCAGTTCACAGCCTGGCTGGTGGGAGGGAACGGGCTTCCCGCGGGGACCCTGGGAAAGCTCCGCTCCAGAAGCCCAGCTGTGAGGTCTGGCCGCCGCGTGAGCCTTGGGAACCCCACCTACGAGCCGAAGCCTGGGCCCCGCTTCCAGGAGGGATGTCCAGCTGGGGTCAGAGATGCGATCTGAGGCCCCAAGGTCCAGCTTGGCCTCTTCTCCATCCAGAGCTGCTCTGCTGGTGGGGACCAGTCGGGACGAGGGTGTCCCCAAGTCCTGATTGCTCGGCTTACCTCCTCAGCTGGTGGGTCTGCAGACAGAGGAACAGTGGCCAGCAGGGTTCTAGCTCAGGGGTGGTGTGGGAGAGACACAGACTTGCCCGCCCCCCGTGGCCTGGGCCACCTCCCCTCCCCCTTAGAAGAGAGGAATTCTCCTCCTGAGCCCTGGGCCAGCACATGTGTGCCGAGTCTCCTGAGAGCCTCCCTAAGAACAGGGTGAATTTTTTTTTTTTAAGAAATTATTTATTTCCCTGATGACTATGTTTTTGGGTTACACAACACTCATTTTCTTTAATAAAAAATTAGTACATACAGGAAAAGCAAAAATATTTTGGTTATTCCTTTCAGATGTTTCTCTATGCATTCATAAAAATGTAGACGTGCCCTGGCCGATTTGACTCAGCGGTTGGAGCGTTGGCCTGCGGTCCGGAGAGACCCGGGTTCGGTTCCCGCTAAGGGCACGTACTTCGGTTGCAGTTTGTCCCCGGCCCTGGTTGGTCATGCGGGTGGCAGCCACTCGATGTGTCCCTTTCACGTCGATGTTTCTCTCTCTCTCTCTCTTCATTTCTCTCCCTCCCACTCTATCTGTGCA